AAAAAAAAAAAAAAGAAAATTCATTAATTTACCGTGGAAATTGATCTTGCAACAGTATTTTTTTTTCAAAAATTACTCTTATAGATATTTTTTGATACTTTTTTTTTTTGCTACATCTAATCTACCTTTTTTTTTTTTACTTTTACATTGATTTTGCTAAACAAGTTTTGTTTTTTTTTTTTCACTTCAATATCTGCACTTTTAAGCTACGTGAAAAACCCACAAAAAAAAAACGCCAAGAGGAGCAAAAAGTGTATGAAAAAAAAAAAAAAAAACTTGGTGAAAATGACGCTTAAAAGAAGTATAAAAAAAGGTAGGAAGTAATGTTTTTTTTTGCGTCATCAAAAGTAATTCAGCACTGCAAAATTATTTTCATTAACCTTTATTTGACGCTACTATAACTACAAATAATTATATTGAAAAGTGGAAATGAATCTGAAAATGTCAAGTAAAAAGCAAAAAAAAAAAAAAGTCAAAAAAACAGTAAAAAATTACAGGTAATTCTGCTTTTTTGTTGATATTATTAACAAAGCTGTTTACTGCTTCACTTCTTTCATAGCCCAAATTTAACCAAAGTACACACAACTTCAGTTTCCAATTCTGTATCATTGATAGCAACTTGCTGTTGCTGATTTTTTGCTTCCCAAATGTGGTGTATAAACTTTACACAACACAGTAACACTTCAGATGCATTTTAAAGAATTCTTTATACATATTTCTGATATTATAATTTAATATTTACCTTTAAAAATGTAAACAAAAAAAAAATTGAGACGGAAGAGCAAACACCAAAAAACAGTTGCCTGCCATCAGTTAAACTGATTATTTCACTAAATAACCAACATACTTTAGGTATATATATATATATACATTATAACAATGCAAGAGGAAAAAATTCCACATACATGTAAACGTATAGGTAATAAAAAAAAAAAATTAAATTATTGAATATTAATTTATAAAAATTTAATTATTTTCTGTTTTGTTTTCATATCAAAAGATAAAAATATGAAATTAAAAGTTATCGTATAATAACAATTCATGCAACCTTTGTACCACACTTCACCAGTCAACAGGATTTTATTATTATTATTGTTATTATTATTATTATTATTATTATTATTAAAAACATTTTTGTTAACATTATTATTTGTTATTACTATTACTATTATACTGATAATTACCATCATAGCAATTAATAAAATTGATGTTATTATCATTGCATTTTCAATTGCACTATTATAATTGTTAGAACTAATGTTGTTATCACAATGATAACAATGAATAGCAACAATACTTTTTTATATTATTACTATTATTATTATTGTTAATATTAATATTACTAATGTTGTTAATACCATTAATATTATTAATATTATTATATAATTATTGTAATATATTATTATAATGTGTTATTATCAGTCATTTTTATTATATATTATTACTTTTTATTAGTTTTATTATTATTACTGCTATTATTATTATTATTATTATTATTACTATTATTACTTTCAATAATTATACTATAAAGACAGTACAGATTTACGATAGCATCAAATAAATTGCATTCTTAAACTTTAGGTTTCCGAGCTATCTTTATCTTCTTTACTGGAATCGATCTGTGGTTGAGATACGGATGCATCTGTCGGCGACTTTAGCATTCTACCATACGAGTAGGCAGGATTTGGATGCGATAATTTAGACCGAAGCTTTTTGCTCAAAGCCATTATTGGCTACAAAAAAATAAAGTTACAAAAACAAATTGGTATATACTTCTTCAGTCAATTTTTTTGACAGTATTAAGGACGAATAAAATTCTAAAAAAAAAAAAAATTAAGGACGAGAAGTTGTCGAAATGGTACAGTTAAATGTTTGTAGAAGTAAGCAAAAGTGTATTGAAGATGAACATATCAAACGTACTATCGATGACCCATACGACTGTGTATTGCGATTGAAAAATGCAGGTAAACTTTCTCGATAGGCTGAATTTAGGCTACCACTTAGACCACGAAGAAACCTTGGCTTATTTGCCGTATTAGACAGTGAATGATAAAAATCTGAATTATATACAAATTGTTTTGTAAATGAGAAAACGAAAAAAACTGTACAAAACAAAGTTTGATCAAACACTGTTTGCAGTAAATACACTTTATCCTATAAAAGCTAAAAAAATTAAAAAAAAAAAAAATCAGAAAAATTTTTCACCAGTTACTGATGTAAAAACGGGAAAAAAATTACCCGAATATACAGAATAACAAATTGCTGAAACAAAAAAAAAACAAGTAACATTTTGATTACCTTGATTGAAGCTACTAAATGCATTTGTATCATACGGTTGCGGATTATACGATGTGCTAGTTAGATCATGTTCTGTACTATAAGTCCGAGAAGTACTGTACGGATTGTAGGAATCAAAAAGATTATTCGGGTACGAAAAATCTAAAAAAAAAAACAAGAAAAAACAGCTGCAATCTCTCAGTCCAATGTGGGTGGTCCGTAAAAAATATCTTATTACCCGGTTGACCAAGGTAATCATCAAAAAGAAAAGTTTGTTCATGAAAAACTGAAAGAGTCCGGTAATATGTGTCTATCTTTTAAGTATTGGACACTTTCAGATAAAACTTATTGTTTAAATATAAAAAACTGTTTTGAGAGTTTTTTTTAAAATTATTTGATAAAAAAAGAATCTATTTTAACTATTTTGCATTCTAGTTGAGCTCTGAAAAATGCTACTATAAGTTATACACCAAAATCTCAAGTAAAATACCCTTTTGACTGTTTCCATAAGCGTATGATATGTAACCAGTAGTTGGCTGAACATACGCTGAATTCATTGAGGTACCATAACTGTTTGGTTGATTAAACCGACCAGCAGTGATAAGTCCACGACTGCTGAGACTATAGAAATTTTTTATAGCTCTTGCCACTTGCTCTGCTGTCGGTTTCCTAAACAGTACTTATTTTTGCCAATTTTTTCGCCTCATTTAATCAGTTCTTTAAAACTCAATAACATTGGATAAGGTCTCATGTTAAGCTACCAATTTCACAGTTTATCTGTAGACTGTTCATACAAAAGTAGATGTAAAAAAAAAAAAGAATAGAAAGAGAAAAAATAAAAAGAACAAAAGATTTGTCAGTGTAGGAGCAGCACAAACTGTACAGAATCTTCCACTGAACAACGACGAACTGAAATGAAAAAGCAATAAAATTGATT